TAAGAATTCCTCAACATTTCTGGTCTGTTCGTGGTGGTAAAATTTCAGAGATTGGGCTACATATAGAAAAGAACCTCCGAAGAGATTTACACATAGGAGAAAAGTTAAACCCTTATAAAAAGATTTTCTCTGGGAATATTAATACAGTCTTTTCTGAAAGTAGGGGATGAATTGGGTACCCTGTCGGTCTTTTTCAATTCTTGACTCAATTGATTTTCTCATAGGGCATGTAAAGTTCTTCCTCACATCATTTAAAATCTGACTTAAGCAAACTGCAATAATCTAAAAAGTCCTATACCTATGGAGTTTTTAAATAAAATCAGTAAAGATGAGAATAAATTCTGGTAATATGCGCTTGACTCCACATACTAAATAGCCCCTTACTTAGCCCCATATCACCTCTGCAGCTGGCCTTCTGATCTCCATCATTCAGGTAAAACAGCCATAGAGGGATTCTTTTCTGAAGGAGATTTCACTTTAGAAGGAACAACATAATATTTGTGTAAACTTTCAAAATCTTTTTACTCATTTGTTTAAGAAACATTCACTTAGTGTTAACCCCCAAATTTCAGCACCTTAAAACAATATAAATATACTTTGTGTTCATATCATTGTGTAATATAAATCATCAGGAAAGCATTTCTGCTCCTTGCAGAAATCAGCAACCAGATTTCATCATTGTGGTTCACCATCCATAGGTCCTCTGTTCAGCCAATGGATGGGGAAGGAAAATGAGGATTACATGGGAGTTTTTTATAAGCCAGGTGTGGAAACATGATACATGCCACTTACGCTCACCTTTCATTGGCTTGAACTCAGGTAAATGTCCACAGTTAAATCCAAGGAGGTAAGAAAATGTAGTCTGGCCAGACTCTCATGAAGAAGAGAGTGCTAGCAATTTCTGTCACATATACTATGTGCTCAGCTCTCAAGGAGATGGACATTTTCTGTAATGAAGGAATAAAGTATTATACATTTCATAAGGAAGGTATTAAAATGCGTAAGAAGCTAGGAGGAGCAGTCAGATCCACTTGAGTTCAAGGGATATTGATCAGCGAAGGTTTCAAAGAAGAGGGTGGCATTTGAACTAAAACTTACTGGTGAAGTTTTCCTCAGTGAGAAAGTGAGGTAGGAACCTCAGCAAGAACAAAGGTATGACAATACAAACGGCAGTATGGTCCAGCAAGGCCACGCATCCTTGAAGTAATGAAAGAGGAGTGGTGAATGATGAAGCCAGAAAGTTATATTGAAGTCAGACTGTGAAGGGCTTTAGATGGCATCTGAAGAGATTGGATTTGTATGTGTATGCAACACAGTGCCTTCGGAGGTAGTTTTTGTGTTTAAGAGTGGTACATCCATTCATTTAACAATTATTGAGCATTCTGTTTTCTAGATACTGTGCTTGCTGCTGTGGGTAATATAGAAGATTCCTTTTGAGGGAGTTGGATTAAAAATATAGCGATCAAATAGGAGCTCCTTTCTTATTCATAATGAAGAGATGAGGCCCTGCACATGAATATCGACAATGGAAATGGAAAGGGCTGCATTGGTTCTAGAGATAATCTTTGGAGTAGAATCTGATGGAGCTCCTAGTCAATAGGATGTACTGCATGGAGATACGATGCGGAGGAAAGGCTCACAAAGGTTTCCAACCTGAGAGAAGATAGAAAACCCCAAGGAAAGAGGACCAGGTTTGAGGGAAAGAGGATGAGTTCCAGCAGGGGCATGATTTGGAAATATCCAGGTATCCAGGAAGTCATTGGAAAAGAGTTCTGATGACCAGCAGAGGGGCCAGAACTGGAGCGATGATGAACATATGGGTTACAGTTAGACCTCTATAGACTGCCTGAGCACAGAACTGCAGGAAGTTAAAGGCAGGTAAGAGACAGCAGCCAAAAAAGGTTGAGAAGGAATTGTTAGAATTGTGAGAGCATTTTGATAAAGATGTGGTTGGTTAGCTGTTGGGTGTTCTTGTTTTGTTTTGTTTTTTCGGGAGAGACTATAACAGGATAAAACTGAGATAACCATTAAATTTGGCTATTAAAGAGTTTTTAGGGCCCATGGCAAAAGCTGTAAAGGCAAAACCTCTCGGGAACAAGAAAAGGCATTACCTTGGTTGAAATATCGTGCAGGATGTGTGAGACTTGAATGTATTTATAGTCTAAGGACAGACAAGAGTGAGTCTGAACCTTAAGAAGCAGGAAGAACCCTAAAGGAAACGGAAAGGAGTAGGTTCTGAAGCACAGGAGGATGGGTTTACTTTCTGAAACAAGACAAAAAAAGAAGTCAGGACTGATAAAAGTTTAAAGGTGGATGGAGTGAGGCTGAGAAAATGTAAGGACTTAGGGGAGCTGGTGTGAGGTCATTGGCACTTGGAGTAAAGAAAGCATAGGAAGTTGTAGGAAATGAGAATGTAAACCAACTGTGGATGCTGAACTGAGGGGAGCAGCATGGGAGGATCCATTTTAATTTCTAAGTCACTGGTTTTTAGTAAAGCCAATAACATTTATATACCATTTTGTAGGGAGCCTCTGCAGCAAAAATAGAAAAAAATGGTCAGATGTGTTGGTAACAGCTTGGCAGGACAACAAAGGAATCTGAGAAATGGGGTTTTATAAGCCTGGAATTGAAATGGTTCCTTGGGCTAGGTAAAGAAGCAAATCCTGGAGGGTACTGTTAACCTGGGGGAGTTTGGAAGAGCCAAGGGATCAGAAGTTGTGAACAAGATTTGTGGAAGGTGTAAGTACTTTTGGTAAATGTAAAATCCAAAGGGAATGATCATGAATCATAAAAATAATAATGATAATAATAATAATAGGTCTTACCACTTTAGTATCATAATGAGATCATCTAATGAGAGTCCAGTATCACTATCTATAAAATGGGATTATCACCTTTTAGAGAATATAAAAAATTTACAATAAATGAAATCATGTATGAATGACCATACGTTTTTCCCTAATCCCATTTAAATAATAATGCCATAAAGTCAACGCAAAGAAAAAAATGTTTCTTCCAAAGTCCCTTAATAATCCATGAGGAGTTTATCCTAATGTCTCCCTTTGAATAAATGAATTTTCCTCAAGTGAATTCATTTGGATTCTTTGTAAAGAATTCACTGGTTATTAATAAGATCTTCAAATGTGTGCTTTTTAAATTAATTATCTATGCTATTTTGATATAATTCAAAGTAGTTTTTTATTTATATAAACACACACATATACACATACTTGGGAATCTTGATTGACAGCATGAAGTTCAATTACATAAAATATTTAACCACAGCACAAGAGCCATTTGCAGTTTAAAAAACACACACAAATGTATAAAACAATATTCCAATGAATTGTCCATGTATAACAACAAATCAGTAAGAAAGGACAAACCAGCATAGTAAAATAGATAAATCAGATTTAGGCAGGGTAGTTTATTGAATTTAAATTGTGCCCAGTTGGCCCAAGAGCTATATATAAGCAATCCATCTTACGTTGTTAATGGAGGTTCTTGAAATCCACCTGATGTTTGCATTATTAAATTTCAGTCTAATGAGCTCTGCTAATACATATTGAAGATGGTTGTAAGGAGTAGAATGTGAATCTGAGCGGGATAATTTGAAAGAAACATAAGCTGAGCATTTTACATGACTCAAGGGGTATATCTACAATTACACATATAACCGAAATTGAATTTAAATGGAATTTCCATTATCCTTGTCCTTCTACCAGGGAGAATAAAGTGTAAATGAAGTAAAAGTCTTTAGAGTTACTGGTGGTTTGTTTTTATTATCTAATTTAATAGATTCTTGCAGTGATACAGAGTGGCATAAAAGTTTTAATATTTCATGACTTTAAACGCAGCCTAAGTATGTATTAAAGCTTGTAAATGGAAACAGATGTCTGTGTAATTGGATATAGCACTTCACAACACCATTGTAGAAGTTTTATATTTTAAGAAAGTGTCGATATTAATGGCGAAGAAAAATAAACTTTGAAGAAAAACAGCGGTGCATGCAGTGTGTATTTTCTTTAAATTCCCTTTTTAAGACAGGTTTTATGCTTCTAAAGGATATGTTGATTTTGTGTAGGAAAAACATATGCAGCAAAAACTGAAGAGCAAGTGTGTTTATTTTTTAAATCACAGTTTGTATTACTGTTATCATTATAATAAAGGCTCATCCGAAGTTTAATGCTGGCACAGTTTGATTCTTTTTCTTTTGACGAGGCAATACTTTTTTAACTTAATATTTCATCAACTATAATGCTATTAGAGACTTATTTTCACTTAGTTCACTCATCAGGCAGTGAGACGGCAATAAAGGAGAATCGCTCCTTTGAGACGTTAATGCCTTGGAATAAATGATGTGCTAGAACAGAAATTTAATTAATTTACAGAGTATATTGATAGTCCCTTGTTACTGTGCTGTATATTTTTAATCTTCTTTAACATCTGTAGGAAAGTGTTTGAAAACCCCTGCAGTTGAGCAACTAGTAGATAATTAAGTAATAAGGGAAGAGGTTTCTAGAGGGAAAAAGATTCTTTTTACCAAATGCTGTCATAACATGAATAAAGAACTGCTACTATGATATGCAATGAAAAAAAAATGCTACCTAATTTGATACTGTTCCAAAGATATTGTAAGCTTCTAATATTTAAAATGTGACTTGTAGCTCAAGAACTTTTCTCTGAAGTTTAAAACAGATTCATTGTACTGACAAATCAGACGACCAGCAGCTTTTCCCAGTTCATATGCCATTGTTTAAACTTACGATGCTTCAATTCATTTTTTTTTTTGTATAGAGATTAGCTTGACCTAAGCTTCAGCGTTTCTAAATAAATATTCTAATACTCTGAGTAAGGATTGTAAATGGTGTATCTCGGATTTTCAGCCATTTTGTTTTTATTCTTCTGACTACTCCAAGGAAAATATTCCCTTTCCCCAGTATTTTCACTTATGATACAGACATAAAATAAGTGCAGAAATGTTATTGTTTTTGTTTCAGCGAAAGCTGATGAAGCATTGAAAGCCAAAGAAAGAAATGAAGAGGAAGCAAAGAGAAGAAAGGAGGAAGGTAAAGGCCCGTGTTCATTGTTTCCAAGCATTCGTTACACTGAGGGGGGTCACTGTTTGGCGTGATTCTCTTCATTTCCTGAATAAACCTTAGAATTTACTCAAATTTGGGGGTGCCACATGCTATTTCATGAACCTAAACTATGGCACAATATCACACTATACTCAGTGTCTTGGACACGAATTAATGGTTGCTAACTTAAACATTAGTTTATAAGTGTCCTAGTATATATTCTGGGGAAGCTGGGAAGACACAAAATTATAAACTAGAGCTGGTGTTGGTTTCTTCTGACTTTTATCTTTATAGTTAACAAGTTATCAGACCAGTCATAGAAATGGATTGAATTTATCTGGACATTTTGAAATGTTTTAGTAGTGATGAAGAAAAGTCCCCTTGACAAAAACAAACAAACAAACAAAAAACACTTAAGTAAAGAGCTCTTAAGGAACAATAAATAGGAAATGTCCATAATTGTCATAATTCAAATTAAGAAATCCATGTCATGGTTTTTTGGATTAAGTATTTTTTTTTAATGAAAAGTGAAGCCACCATCCAAAAGTATTATGCAAAGAAATCAAACACATTTTTATCTCCCCTAAAAAATTTTATTTCCCCTTTATTTTGGTGTGATTTGTGTAAGTGAAAATTTTGCATTCTTTCCTTCCCAGGGGCTTTATACATACTGTTCTAAATTACAGAGCTTAAAGCAAGATCCAGGCAAAGCTTTCTCAGTGGGTTAAGTTGATGATTCACACAGACTGGCAATTGTGTCTCTTTACTGGTTAATTAGCAGAGTAACTATTTCCTCTATGAACTTTCAAGAAGTTGAAGCTTGACAATGTGTTCCCAATACTGGCTTTGAGTGCCATTGTCTAGATGTGAAAATTGAAATTTTTGCCATAATACATATCTTTTATGTATTGTGCCAGAAAAAATTTCTAATTCCCACCAATTATGCGATGAGACACAATAGAACTTAAAATGTGAGTATTTTGGGTTAGAATGATTAAAAGCAGTATTCCATGAGGGCCATGCCCCCAAAGCAAATCAGAGAGAGAGAGAGAGAGAGAGAGGGAGAAGGAGGA